ACTTATCGGTTCGTATGATGCGAAATTGAAAACATACCATATAATTGAAACTTTATTTAAAGAGTACTTCAAACACTTACAGGAAAAAAGTACTGTATGCAGAATAAATAACCAGCAGTCATATGATACCATTATAAACCAATATTAAAAAGACCTAACGAAACAAAGCAGCACTTGATTTAAATAACAGCAGAATCATTGAATCAGTAAAAATAAAGTAAAAAGGAAATCTAAAATGATTAATAATAATAATTTTTAAAAATCAACACAATGGTGTCAATGGCCAAGGAGTGGAGATGTCTTTGTAAATTCTGTATCACTCTTACTTAAGATCGACTGTCGTTCACATATGGCATGTTATACTGTTGGTACTTGCTCCTTTACATTATACATTAGCAACAGGCATCATTTAAAACTCGATCAAAGCTTACCTGGATCATATAGGGCTTGTTTCCCATGCGGCGTATCTCTGACATATTCCTCATTTGCTGTTGTACGAGGGAGGCCTCAAATGCAACCAGCATGAACAGAGTAAAAACGCTGTAATACCAGTATTCATCCAAACACCACAGTCCCACACAGAACACCTGATGAATGGCAGAGGCAGATAACATCACAAGGATGTAAAAGCTTTAAAATAAAGAATTAAACCCAGTCTGGTGCCAAAAGAAAACACAGCAAACCTGGAAGACGAAAAAAGGAGCTGTTGCCCTCTCTTTGAAGAGCTCCAGAAAATCAGGCACCACCATCTCTGCACGATTGGTGCCATATCGCTTTTCTGCAACTTTGAGCTCAGTTTCTTCCTGGTACCCACGCCATGACTGGAAGTGACCCATTGGGTAGTTAATGGGGAAAGCCACTGAGAGGAAACATTTCTTCTCTTTGTAGTCAAAAACGTAACGGATCTTTTGAAACTCAAAAGATAGGATTTTCTCTCCATTCTCATCCTGTTGATCCAGACATAGAAACAAACGTCTTAAAAACAAGCAGATAAAAAGATACACCTGAAGTAGCAAACAATTCACATCAAAATAATCAATGAGAGTCAGAATGTGATTTAACCTAACAACTTTCCATATAAGTTGTGTCTGCTCTAAGCATAAAGACCTTTGATAGAGGCTTTAAATAGAAACGATACCAAATTGATTTCAAGCTTTCTCAACAGGTAACATTCAAAATATTTAAAATAAGGACAACATGGGGAAAACATTCACTAAAAATGTGAACAAACCTGATCCCTCTGGAGTGGGACAAGCTCAGCAGAACCATTGTTAGGGGTTGGAATGACTTTTGCCAGCGTAGCCAGGTTGGGGTCTGGCTCCTGGGTTTAATGAAAAGAAAGAACAAATTTAAAATATATAATATAAAATATCACAATACAATATAATAAATATAGTTTTTGGAAGACAATATTGCTGCCCAGTAATGTACAGAGATAGAAGGAAAAATGCCTGCAAAATTGAAAAATTAAAAAGTCCAAAATAAAAAAAAAATACATTTAAACAAACAAACAAAAAACTTCAGGTGGCGTGTGTCATCGTAGTTTTTTTGCCAATGTTTTTACACGGTGGTGCAATAATGCAGTAGAGCAAGAACTGTTGCAGTACCCGCATCATTGGTCAGGTATGTATTGCTTATTCTATGATAAAGGATAGGAAAATGACTACTAAAGACAAATAAAAATGCATAATATCTGATACAATTTTAGCAGTTTTTATTGTTTATTGAATCCCCTCTCTATAAGGTAACTTTCTATTGCATTTGAAATGAAACGCATTGGTTGCAGATGCAACACAAAGTTCTTCTACCTGAACACTCTTTTAAAATTGCATAAATGTTAGTGATAAAGTTTTAGCAGAGTTGTGTTAAAGGAGAAGTCTGGTCATATTCAGAATTCAAACTTTTGAAAGTACTTTAAATATGAAATTATTACATACTGTTCAATAAATGATGAGTGTTTTAATTAAGAGTAATTTCCTTTGAATGTGATTTACTGGAGACATCCATGTTTAAAAAAAGAAAACTACTGCCACCCGCTGGTTTGTGACATCAAGGTGTGGTATTGGCTCTTGAGCAAGATCCAGTACTGTGCTGGTGTTTGTCACAATGTGCTATTATCCAAGTCATCTTGAAAACATTCTTCTTCGATTTGTTGGCTAGATATTACATGTTTTTTCTCTGGCCAGAAGTTGGATGGCAAATCCTCCCTCTTCAAGTTGGCAATCCAACAACGAACCCGTCCGTGGAGGATCATGAATTGGAAAGGTGAAATAACTAGTCTATTTTCACTTTTACCTGATGTATTACAACATCCAACTGCCATGCAAGTGGGCATTGTCAGTTTAACTATAGTTCTCATGAATTTCAATGGTGAATTCCTCTCGAAATCTTAAATAATTGTTGTTGATTGCAGACGTGTCTTGTAGTTCCCATTGATTTTACTTGTAAAGCGAGGCTTACCACACCATGATGTCACTGCTGGAAGGAGTCAACAGTGAGGTGTTACTATATTGGGGCAAAAATGGCCAGTCCCGGACTCAGTGATCGCAATGAAAATTATGGTTTTAATTATTTCACTGATTAACCTCTAAATTCATTAAATTACTGTGAACGTATTAGTTTTAAGTATAGATAAAGATCCATTGACCATTCCTTATGGAGTTTTCCTTTAATAGAGGTTTAGATTATCCATCCATCCATTTTCCATCATGCTTTATCCCTGCTCGGGTCTCGAGGGGTGCTGGTGCCTATCTCCAGCTGTCTACGGGCGAAAGGCAGGGTACGCTCTGAACAGGTCGCCAGTGCATCGCAGGGCAACACAGAGAAGAACAGGACAAACAACCATTTAGACACACACTCACACCTATGGAGAATTTAGAGAAGCCACTCAACCCAACAGTCATGTTTTTTGGAGGAAGCTGGAGTGCCCTGAGAGAACCCACGCATGCACAGGGAGAATATGCAAACTCCATGCAAAAAGAACCCTGGCCGGGAATCAAACCCGGAACCTTCTTGCTGCAGGTTTAGATTATATGAAATAAATAAATAAATAATCGGATCCTCTAAAAATTATTGTGTATAAACAATAGACCATATATTCTTGTCTGCTGACCGGTTTCTGACTGTTGGTCTGTTTGTTTTATATAATTATAATGCAATATATGTACAATATTTTTGTAATTATATCCAAATATTATGGAACATCATTATTGTCGTTATATGTTTATAAAGCCTTAACAAATCTTCATACCTTACAGAAAGTGTTTTCATGAGATCTGTCATAGTACATTTTAGGGCATTTTAAAAAGTCAAGTAGTTCAAGACAATTTACTTCTCAAGAGCATCTGACATGTCTCGGATACAAGTACATATATCAAATTTGGGTAGAGATCAGGTTTCCATTTTTCAATTCTTTAAAGTATTGAAGAACATTTAAATAATTTCAGAATGATTTCCCCATCAACAATAAAAACGCAATTTTCTATTGTGTGAAAATTTGTTTTTTGTATTGACCTTAAATCAATCAAATGAAATAAAAGTGTTTTTTAGCTTATTTATATTTTAACTCTTGCTTACCTTCGAACAAGTGAGCCAACAATGCACGTGCACGGACCAATATCCAGAGAGTGCTGTGAGGACGTGCGCGATCCCGATCGCGGCTAAGGCAAGGAGGCCTGCCTCTGGATACTCGGAGGCACCATATACTCCAAACCACGCATACAACCAGCCAGGGTAGAGAACAGCCAGAAACGGGAGAACAGTGCCGTGTAGTAGTCGGGGCCTCCGTCGGTACAGCGTCACCGAACTCACCAGCTCATCACCGGCACCGCTGTCATTCTGGTTGTGGTTAACAGAGGGGGCCATTTGCAGCTCACCCGGTCCTCGGATTCCGTCTGCAGCCTTACTCCCGTCTTTCTTGTTGTCGTTCATTGTGTCCGAATCCCTCATTTGGCCCCCTCTACCATCCACCACCACCCCGTCTCGCTGTAGCCGTTAAATATACGATTCAATACACGAAGCGGCGTGCCGTCCAGCTTTGCAAGCCAGTTTGTTGGTTCGACTGCTCCCCGACAGTTGCTTCCGCATACGTAAGCACGCAAAGACACGTAATGTTTAGACGGTGTCAGTCTCTTTTTTTTTTTTTTTCTAAAGTTTTTTTTTTTTTGTTGTTGTTGTTGTTGTTGGACGCCTGAACTATGTTTAAGGTAATAAATTGTTAGTAATATTTCAGTTTCCTAGCCTGTTTTAATAAACAAATGACATTAAAAGGACACACAATAAAACAAAGAAGTTGTAGAGAACTGGAGGACATTAAATTGAAAGAAATGTATTTTACAAAAAATAATTTATGACTATGAAGCCGCCATGGACTGAAAGCTGATTATTCTATTAGCTATTTTTCATTATTTTAATTATTTTTGTCTTTAAACTTTGGAGTGGTCATCTTTAGCCTATACCATTCCTATCTTGATTTGTCAATCGTACAGTTTAATCCACCTAATAAGGGGAGGCCAACTAAAAGATGGAGATGTCTGTCGATTTAGTTGATGTTTAGTGTGGATGTTTAGTGTCTGCCAGCAGGGGGTGGATAGCATTCTCCAATATTTGTTCGCTTTGGGAACAAAAATGTTCATATAGTATATATCTTTCAAATGTAATGTTCCTGAATCCCTGCGTATATTTATGCTTATTTTTGGACACAGTAGGCTATGACACACGTTTTTGTTTGTCTAGATATTGGGATTTTATGGTGAGAGTTTATTTTCTCAGTACAGTAGTGGAGGTCAAAGGGACACTGTTGGGGAGGTCAAAGAGCCAAATTTATTTTATTTTATTTTTTTGCGGCCCCGGGTCTGCGACTCTCTACGGTTAAACAAGCAAATCAACTAAATACATATACTTTGTAGTGATTAAATTTGCTACTGCTTTAAACACAAACGTCACTCTGGAGGCGTTACCCAAATACTTGACAGACGCAAACCTCAGCCAACCAACTCGTATGACGTCAATGTAGTTTTGCTTTTAACCTTCCAATCTCAGGCCGTTGTGTGTATCCTAGCTGTTAATCGTATAGACCTCGTTTTCACTTATAGTGGGAGTGAAACCTTGTTTACAATTCCTGCGTCGACACAACTACGAGCATCAAGATGTAAGAATTTGAATTACTTCTTATACTAGTAATGACTGATACATGTATATGGTTTAGTTTGATCGGATCAGAGCGCCTCAGTGTAACCCTTCTGCATTCTGCTGTTTAGCACGTTTCTCAGCTTAGTGAGGGATGATCACACTCACCTGTCCTCTGTGTGTATAAATCCGTTTCCTTTCAGGCAAGCGGCTATGGAAATATCAACAAAGTACTGTTATAAAGAATTGGAGACATATGGGTCATGCGTGGCTTCAAATCCGACGTCATGGCAGCAAAAGTGCCATGACCTAAAGACGAAGGTTTCTCAATGCACATCATCACAGTAAGTCAGTTTGACCTATGACATACAACTATATAACTTCTGGTGGTATTTACAGTGTGTATCCAACCTCTGTTTTTTTACAGTCCAGTGATACAGAAAATCCGGCAAGACTGTTCCACTGAATTTGGGAAATTTGAGCAATGCCTGAAAGAAAACCAGAACTCACCTACCTCCTGTTCGGCACACGTGACCCGCTTTCTAGGCTGTGCAGACTCTGTTGACCTCAGCAGCGTGGGTAAGACCTTCTTGGGATCAAAGATCTCAAGGTCACACATTCTGGCTTGTAACATTTTTACATCAGTGCTGAATTCCTCACCTTATTTATACATTTTATAAAAAGGAAAGAGGCTTTACGTATCATCTTTGGTTATGCTGTTTATTTGGTAAAAATGTATTTCTCTAACACACTCTTATGATCTAAATTCTAAATATTTACCACCTTTGTTAACATAGATTTCTTTTAATAGCGCTAGAGTTATACTAGTGCAGATAGTGAGTGCCAATTAAGGGAAATGCTTTACCTGTGCTGATATGGTGGTACTAGGAGGGTTAATTGTGTGCAGTAACTATGTTTAAATGATAAATATATTTAAATCTTTATATGATATTGTTCATTTATTGTAACAATTAATTTGCTAATTTGCTCTTTTACTCCCAGCATCTGAAACGAGTTCTGACTGATCATTGGATTCCACATCTTCCATCTTCAGATCAAACTTCTGGCTTCAACAGCTTATACAAGCTGAATTTGGACATGTCTACAGTACAAATATCCTATATATACTTGTGTTGTGTAAATATATATATATAAGAATTTCTATATACACACACAACCAAAGTGTTTAACATCTGTTAATCTCAATGTGACCCGTTTTAACTGAAATTAATAAAATAGCAATGCTCCAGAACTGTAAATAATAGCATTTGGGTGGGCCCATTAAGGGCGCTCATCTTAATATCATTTATACTTTCCTTTGAATAAAAACAGCAAGATTTGCAACATTTTGTGTTCTTCGGTTTTACAAAAATAGTTTTGTTTTGTTTTATGTCTGTCCCTCCTACCAATGCATTCTCCAGGTCATTGTCAAATATTAATCTGAAGTGTAATTGCTCCCACACATATTCTACTGACTATTGAGTCAATGAGCAATAGGGAGTCTGGGAAGATAGGAGGGAAAGAAAAAAAAAAAAGGCGGTTACTCACCACTAATCAGCAGGACCACTGAGACAGACAGAGGGAGGATGTTGAGTTATGAACCTTGTGACCGTTAAGCAGAACAGACATTTTCTGGTTCAATTATTAAAGGTTTGGGGTGAGTAATGGGGGAGAAACAGATTCCTTTATTTTAAGGTGTATTACTAGTTAATACCATGGGAACAATTTGTTAGACTTTCATTATTTATTTCATTAAGGACAAATAAGCCAATTTTACTTCAAAGGCAAAACTGCAGTTTGTATTGAAGATACATGAACATTGAATTCAAAGCACATCACCTTGCTGTCACTGAACAAAATAGAATATCATCTACTACCACACAAATAAATTACATTCACATTAATATCACAGTAAGAACGCCAAGTATTTGATTAGAATCAAACAATTTCTTAAGAGTACCCCAGGTTCCGGCTATTCACCGACAACTAAATAAGATAGGTATCGCTGTAGTTTCTTTTTTTTTTCTTGCTGTGCCACAGGAAAGGTCTGTTTAGATCCCTACAGCAAAATTGGCTATTTCCCACCCCCCAAAAATTGGATTCTAGTTCTATAGATCTACTTTGTGGCACACAGATATCATGCTATGGTTTAAATATTTGCTGATTATCACAGGTACAAAATGTCTACCCAACAGAATCTATCAGGATATTCAAGACGAAGGAAATTATTACAGAAAGTGATTGCAACAATTATGTGTAACGCAGTCATACTCGCATTTACATTTGGAATTCACCACCGTGGACTTTAAGTCCTAAGATTTGGGCATTGTAGATCTTTTGGTTTAAACTACTGCACTAATTTTACTGTTAATATTATAAAAGCATAAACTGAAGTGATAATCACTTAATCACCCTGTTCTAATTAAGGCTTTTCAAATGACTCTTGAGGGGTCATCTGTTTTGTTAATAATGTAAAAACAATTTATTTTTGGTCCACTTTTTTTGTTGTCAAGCCTCAAAAAGGATAAAATTTGAAATAAAAGGGAAGTTAAAGGTGTTTTCTAACCAACGCAATTTCCTGAGATGAGGCTCAGGTCACAAAAACATACACACTAACCTGAGAGCAAAACTGTAATCCACTCCATATACTCTTGTATATGTTGCAATCATCCTTAAACATTGCTTAAAAATGAATCCAGACAAAACAAAGGAGCTTTACCAATGTCCTAATATTATTTAGACCCCCAAATTTTTGTAACTAGTACAACCCCTAAATACATTTAACTTGACTGAGTCCTCGAAAGTACGTAACTTAGTCATATGTACTGATTGGTATATGCGTTGTCATGTTCTTTTTTTTTTGTTGGAGAGTGAAATTAAATATTTCTCACTGAGTATGGCATTAATACAATTGAAAAAATACAAGGCCATTATTATGAAGATTTACAGTGTCTGTCATTCCAGCATATGATTCTTATTCAGGAAAGCATGAAAGGACATTATGCTAATCAAAATAGTGCTGTTTTGCCCGATTGATTTGATGATGATGTAATCCAGTGATAAAAGTTCAGAAGTATGTTTGGCTCCAGCCTGTCTAATTGAGAATAGTCCCATCTGCAGGTTGCTTCTCTCGGGCAAAAGGTGGAACAGGAGGAGTAAAGATTGAGGTTTTTAAGTGTCAGGAAGTGAAGTAGGAGTTCTGCATGGAGTAAAGACGGTCGATGGGGTTTCCTACTCGTCCTGCCAGAAGACCACCATCTCCTGTTGCCAAGAGACAGTCCCCGAGGTGACTGAGGCTTCCATCGCTGTCCAAATCATGGAATACAGTCTCTGAGTCTGCAGCAAAAAAAAGAGACAACACTTTTGGTAGAACTGGGTTAATGTTCAGACATGTAAAGGGAAAGAGGGATTCAACAAATGTGATTTTTAAGCCTGAAAATGAGGTTAAAACTTGAGTCTTTTTTTATATATCTTACCGTAAGAGTGGATCTGCTCACTGTTTAGTTGAGGAGGTGTCAGCCCATGTCGAAATGGCTCTCCTCCATAGATGTTTGGGTCCAGGGAAAGTAGCTGCTGACGTGGCAGAGATGGATATCCTAACATGCTGTCGATGCCGTGAGTACTAGATCCATCTAGAAAGGTGAAAGTAATTTAAAATATTTTAACCTTTTAAAGGCTTTCTAAAAAATATTATTTTTATATTTCTTACCCTCACTGTCATCATTGCTTTGACGGCCTCCTCTACTGGGCCCTCTCCTGGTCCCTCCCAGTTGCTCTTGCTCCTGCTGCTGCTGCTGTTGTTGCTGCTGTCGACGAGCTATCTTTTTCATCTGAGATAGAAAAGTGGATGCTGTGAGAATCCTCTGAGGATATTAACAATTAGTGACTGAACATGTCTTCAGGAAAGAGATAAACGTCTCACCTTAGCTCTCTGGTTTTGAAACCAAACCTGCACAACCCGCACTGTCAGGCCGGTCTCAGCAGCCAGGGTCTCCCTCACCTACAGGTTAGGGTTTTTCATTGCTTTTAGGATGTAAACTTGATAAATAGCTTTATCAGACAACCAGGAAAAAACAATGAACTCCGAAAGTAAAGTCAAGGTCTGTTTTGGCATCCATTTTCACTGATAATGAAGGGGATCCACCCACCTTTCGGCATGGCTTGGCTGATACTTCAAAGGAGGCCTTGAAAGCTCGCCGTTGCTGCGTAGTCAATATGGTGCGTGGTCGTTTTGAACGCTTGTGCTCTTTTCCTTCATCACCACCTTTCCCACTGCCAGAGCCTCCCCCACCATCTTCATCCTCACTTTTTACTGAGTATGATAAGGAGTTTACACAGCTCAAAGTCAGGCTCCAATGTAGTGTGCCATGTAGCTATGCAGAAAATCACAAATCACTGCAAAAATGATCCAGAAATAAGTAAATATTTCTCAGATTAAGTGTATTTACCCTTAATTTGAGTAGGTAAATAAGATGATTTGCCAATGGAATCAATATTTTAACTCTTAAAATAATAATAATTTTTTTTCTTATTTTAAATTTAAACTGTCTTGTTCCTCTGGCAAAGTGTCTCACTTATATTTTGAATTCAAGAAAAATGCACTTATTTTAAGAAGAAAATACTTATTTAGATTTACATTTTTTGTACTGTAGTAGTTCATTTCATTAATATTGCTTTTACAATTATCTGTATTGCTGACATGTCAGAAGCCTTAAAGTTTTATTCATAAATCTAGATGCCAACTTGATAAAATTTGATTGTTGAAATGTTAACAGCTGTAATCAAACATGGAAGGGCAATTATGAGAATTTATTAAGAAAATTTGTCAGATGTGGTACAAATTAAATAGTATTGCATCAAACACTACACCTGATTCAGTTGGAGCAGGACTAATTGCAGCAAGCATTTCCCTCTCCTTTTCATAGTCCATGCGGCAGAGCAGCTGGCCTTCTTTCAACACAAACTCATCACCTCTCTGCAGTCGGCGTTCACACTCACAGCAGCTGAAGCAGCCCAGGTGGTATACCTGGCCTAGCACACGCATTATCAGCTCAGAGCGTCCAATGACCTGCAGGCAGGCACTGCACTTCCTGACAAAGAGCCTGAAAATACAAAGAAGTATAGACACATGCACTTGTGTATTCATTTATTTATGTCTTAAAGCAGAAAAAGAATTAAAGCAATTAAACATGAAGATGTAAACAAGGGGCTAAGATAAATTTACCCTCAGCAGCAATAAAAATGTTCAAGAGTGAAGTCTTTTAATTAAAGACTGCCTCAGCATTACCCAATTCACAGAGCAACAAGGTGAACATCTGTTAAGATGAGTAACAGTTGTTTTCAAAGGGAAGAGTTTTGTTTTCTCCCTACTGGCAGTAGGTGGCAGTAGTTAGTTGATAATGGGCTGCATTTTCCAGCATAATAATTTTCGTAACAGACTTGGCAAATTTAAACAAACCATAATCTTAAAAATACATATGACTCTGCATATTGTGCTTAAAATAGTCTTTGTTCGATTAATTTTCTTTCCTGATTACTACTTGCTTTCTTTAGTCTTCTTATTTCTTGCCCTCTGTGATTTTCTAACCTTTCAATTGCTCTCATGCTCTACAATCACTTTCAGTGCCTATTTACATTCACAGGGCCAAGTCTCTGACTTCAAATTCCTCCCAAATCCCTGTTCTTGCACTAGGTTTCCTCCCCCTCCCTCAGCCTTTTCTGCCAGGATTCCCAGTTTTCCCTCATGCCCTCCAAACCTGCCTCCCCAGTTCACTGAAACTAATAAAGACGGGATTAATTAGATTGTTGTTTAAACAGTGAGATGGCCAGACAGACGCTGTAAACTCATAACCAGGGATTGGTGATAGCATGGGGTTAATCTCTCTCCTCTCACTTATGCACACAAAACACACACAAAACACACACACTCAGGTACTTGTCCACATATTGAACACATGGTATTAACATTAAAGCATGCAACAACTCCCTTACTCATCTAGGTATATGCAATACCAATTGTCACATTGGAGGGATGAAATAAACACCAAGAAAAAGGTTTTAATCCACAAGAAAACCAGTAGAGTTTTCAAAAGAATAGGAGCAATAGAAGAGCACTAAAATCAATCAAGAATTGTGGGTACAGAAATAGCATCACAACAAAACACAAATCTTGTTAAGAAGTGAGAGATTGAAAAGTTATGCAAGTGAGTGATGATAAGATGAAGGCTGAGGTATTGACCCTCCCAGACTGAGAGAGGGCAAGGTGCTGTT